GACCTAGAGCATTTGGGCTTAACAGACATCTATAGAACACTAAACCCAAAAAAAACGGAGTACACATTTTTCTCAAGCGCACACGGATCATTCTCCAGGATCGATCACATACTGGGGCACAAGACAAAGATCAACAGATACACCAAGATTGAAATCATACCAACCATCTTTTCTGACCACGAAGGCATCAAACTAGAAATAAATCATAAAAAGAAGGCAAGGAACTATCCTACCTCATGGAGATTAAAAGCCACACTACTGGAAGACCACTGGACTAACGAGGAGAGCAAAGAAGAAATTAAAAAATTCTTTGAATGAATGACAAGAGGACACCAATATCCTAAATGTATGGGATGCAGCAAAAGCAGTAATAAGAGGAAAATATATAGCAATAGAAGCTCACATCAAAAAACAAGAAAGAACTCAAAGAAACAACCTAATCTCGAAGCTCAAAGATCTAGAAAAAGAACAACAAAAAAACCCCAGAACCAGTAGAAGAAAAGAAATAATAAAAACCAAAGCAGAAATAAATGAAATTGAAACTAAAAAAACAATCCAAAAGATCAATGAAACCAAGAGCTGGTTCTTTGAAAAAATAAATAAAATAGACAAACCCCTAGCCAGGCTCACAAAGGAAAAAGGGAGAAAGCACAAATACACAGAATCATAAATGAAAGAGGAGAAATCACAACGGACACAGCAGAAATCAAAAGAATAATCAGTAACTACTATGAACAGTTATATGGAAACAAGTTCAACAATCTAGAGGAGATGGACAAATTCCTACAACTCTACAATCACCCAAAGCTAGATAAAGAAGAAATAGAACACCTAAACAGACCAATTACAAGCAGCGAAATTGAAATGGTAATTAAAAACCTCCCCAAAACAAAAGCCCAGGACCTGATGGATTTACAAATGAATTCTACCAAACATTCAGAGACGAATTAGTGCCTATCCTTCACAAACTCTTCCAAAAAATTGAGAAGGAAGGGACAATACAAAACACGTTCTATGAAGCCAATATTACACTAATACCAAAACCGAATAAGGACAACACAAAAAAGGAAAACTATAGGCCAATCTCCCTAATGAACACTGATGCAAAAATCCTCAATAAAATTTTAGCTATCAGAATCCAACAATGTATCCATAAGATAATTCACCACGACCAAGTTGGATTCATTCCAGGGGCACAAGGATGGTTTAACATCCGAAAATCAATCAACGTTATCCAACACATCAACAAAAAGAAATATAAAAACCATATGATAATATCAATAGATGCTGAGAAAGCTTTCGACAAAGTGCAACACACCCATTCATGATAAAAGCCCTTGAAATTCTTGGGATACAAGGAACATACCTCAACATCATAAGGCCATCTATGACAAGCCAACAGCCAGTATCATTCTCAATGGTGAAAAGCTGAAAGCAATTCCATTAAGATCTGGAACAAGACAAGGATGTCCACTCTCACCACTGCTTTTCAATATAATACTGGAAGTCCTAGCCAGAGCAATAAGACAAGAGAAAGACATCCAAGGAATCCAAATAGGAAAAGAAGAAGTCAAACTATCACTCTTTGCAGATGATATGATAATATACATAGAGAACCCCAAAATCTCCACAGAAAAACTAATTCAACTCATCAATCAATTCAGTAAAGTGGCAGGATACAAAATCAACACGCAAAAGTCAGTAGCCTTCCTATACACAAACAATAAATCTGAAGAAGAAGAAATCAAAAAAACCACCCCTTTTATTATCGAAACAAAAAAAATCAAATATTTGGGAATAAATCTACAAAAGAGGTAAAGGACCTATACAAAGAAAACTATAAACACTGTTAAAAGAAATAGAAGAAGACACAAAGAAATGGAAAGACATCCCTGCTCATGGATTGGAAGAATAAACATTATTAAAATGGCCATCCTACCAAAAGCAATATATAGATTCAATGCTATTCCAATCAAAATCTCAATGGCATTCTTCAAAGAAATAGAACAATTATTGATGAAATTCATATGGAATCACCAAAAACCCCCGAATAGCCAAAGCTCTACTGAAAAAAAAGAAGGAAATGGAGGCATCACACTCCCAGACTTCAAACTATACTACAAAGCCATAATCATCAAAACTGCATGGTATTGGAACAAGAACAGACATACAGACCAATGGAATCGAATAGAAAATCCAGAAATAAACCCACAGATTTATGGTCAACTAATCTTTGACAAAGGAGCAAAGACTATGCATTGGAGCAAAGAAAGTTTGTTCAATAAATGGTGCTGGGAAAACTGGGTCGCTACATGCAAAAGAATGAAGCTTGACCACTACCTCACACCATACACAAAAATCAACTCAAAATGGATTAAAGAACTAGACATAAGACCTGAAACCATAAAATACATAGAAGGAAATATAGGCGAAACACTACGGGATTTGCACATCAAAGACATCTTTACAGACACATCACCCAAAGCAGTGATAGTGAAGAGAAAGATAAACAGCTGGGACTACATCAAATCAAAGAGCTTCTGCACAGCAAAAGAGACAATAACAAAAACAAAGAGAAACCCCACCAACTGGGAGAACATTTTTGCACCCAACACTAATGATAAAGGACTGATCACAAAAATCTGCAAAGAGCTGATGAGACTCAGCAACAACAAAGAAAATAATCCAGTCAAAAAATGGGCAGAAGAGCTAAAAAGAAACTTCTCTGAAGAGGAAATGCAAATGGCCAACAGACATATGAAAAAATGTTCAACATCACTTGTAATCAGGGAAATGCAAATCAAAACTACCATGAGATACCATCTCACACCAGTGAGAATGGCACATATTAAAAAAACTAGCAACAACAAATGTTGGCGAGGATGTGGAGAAAAGGAACTCTTGTGCACTGTTGGTGGGAGTGCAAACTGGTCCAACCACTATGGAGAGCTGTGTGGAGATTTCTGGACCTACTAAACATAGAGCTTCCATATGATCCAGCAATTCCACTCCTAGGTATTTACCCAAAGGACACAGAAACATCAATTCCAAAGAGCACCTGCACTCCTATGTTTATAGCAGCACTGTTTACAATAGCTAAGCTTTGGAAACAACCCAAATGCCCAAAAATAGATGACTGGATCAAGAAGATGTGGTACATATATACCATGGAATATTACTCAGCTTTCAAAAAAGATAAACACATGCAATTTGCAGCAACATGGATGGCACTGGAAGGGATCATGCTCAGCGAAATAAGCCAAAAAGAAAAAGAAAAATACCGGATGGCCTCACTCATAGCAGGAATGTAGAAAACTTAAATAAGGGATCAGGAAAATGAATATAAGAAAGTGAAAATCAAAATCAACAAAAAACTGTGAACCAGAGACACTTTTTGGGGGTGGGGGGGGGGGGAGGGGAAGGATTGGGGTCAGAATGGGGCGTTTGCAATTGTATGGGGGAATATAAAAATAAAATTTAATATTTAAAAAAAAAAAAAGGCTAAAAAGGATTATTAATCCTTTTTCTATACATAGTCTACCACTTATGAACTTAATAAGTATTACCTGGAGGAAAACAAGTGCATCTGCACATGAAAACAATCACATGAAGGATAAGAAATGCATCTAAGAGAAAATTAAATATGGAGAATTTTGTAATATGATTTACAGAGGTCATTTATTTTGCCTCATTTTCATAGGTAGAGTTATTAGTATAAGAGTGAAACTTACTCATCATAGAAGTTTTGCTCTATGGTTAGTGATGTACCTAATGCATCATTAATACTCAACCAGCTACATTTGAATAAAACTGGGCTTTTGTTTCTCTCTATTGTTACAAGAAAAACAGAGCTGACCCAAAGGGCCTTTTTACCACTACACTCACATGATTCTCGTCTCCAGACTCAATTCAGACAAATTGGCTGATGCTTTGAGCTCTAATTGTCTTTTGGGAATGCAATTTTCATACAGATGCCCTTAAAATTAAGAGGATGGAATGTTTGTTGTTACATTACAATGGACCTGCCTCTCTGTATGGTTAATTATGAGAGTTAAATATAGCGCCTGAGTGATAAGACAGAATTATCAGTGCATTTTCCCATGGCATCTAATGACTCTGTCATGGTGACTGGCTGTTCATGTCTTGTAAACATGCACTGTTGGTTATTGAAAATGGGCAAGAGTTCAACTAAAAATCAACCAAGGTCTTCCAGTTCCAGGAAAGTCCTCAGAATGTGTCTGCCTTTAGTCATTGACTTCTATGGCATCATCTTCATTCTCTTGTATAGATCATTGCAATCTAGAATCCTCTGTCCTTTAGATTCAAGTAGGGAAGTGTAGACAAGAGTTTGAACATAAATACTTTACTCAAGAATGAGTATTGAAGGTCTATCTAGAGCATATGTCTACAGAAATGTAGATTAAAACCTTTATATTTTTTTTGTTTATGATGCATTTAATTACAATAACCCATATGTATTTTATGTATTAAAGTATGAACTGGAATAGTTAATATATTTGAATAAGTATTCCTCATAATTGTGACAGCTAAAGTTTCAAATGCCATTAAAAATAAGGTTAAGCATATATAAAACTACTCTTTCTTTTCAAAACAGTATTAAGTTAGCTGAACATTTTTATTTAAATCACTAAACAGAATGGAGCATATGTTAACAGTTCTTGGTTTCTGGTTTTCTAAATTAAAACAAATCTGGAATGAGCAAAATGAACAATATGGTAAACATAGTTTCAGCTAATTTTACTTAATCCCCTTTATTTTCTGTTTCCTGTGAAAACTTCTTACCAAATAGGAGAAAATGCAAATGTTAGCTTTGAGTCTCACTACTTTTACACATCATAAGTGTTGATGTATTTTCAATGAACTGAGATTACATCACCAAGTAGAAATAAAAATGCCCAAGGTGATTTCACTCGAGTGGAGAAGACAGAGTTCATAACTGCCTGTGCGTCTGTGATGAGAATATCAATGTTTTTTTGCAGCTTTTGCCAGCAAGAGAAGCTGCCAATGACCTTCCAGTCCTGTGTGTTCACCAAAGAGTGCCAGGTGTCGGAGTGGTCAGAGTGGAGCCCATGCTCAAAAGCCTGCCATGATGCGGTGTCCCCTAAAGGCACTCGCATAAGGACACGGATCGTCAGGCAGTTTCCTATCGGCAGTGAGGAAGAGTGTCCAGAACTTGAGGAAAAAGAACTTTGTGTGTCTCAAGGAGATGGACTTGCTCCCTGTGCCACGTGAGTAAATAAAGGACCGCAGCCTTTGCTGCCCAGATCTCATTCATTCAGCTGTCTGATTTCAACTGGATAGTAATTTGAGAAATTAGTGACTTTTATAAATTGAAGTAGAAAAATAAAATATCTCTTTACAAACACTGTACTAGACACAGATTGGTTTCACTGCCCATGAGTATCTTTCACAAGTTGTTCCAAATATCCACAAAGTAAGATTTTAGCAGCAATTCTGTGTTTTCTGTAATAGGCGGTAGCAAACCTTTTCTGTCCAGAGATAGAAAATATACATATTAGGCTTTGTGGGTCCCATGTCTTACAGTGATTCACCTTAGCCATTAGAGCTAGAAAATATGTAAATTAGTATGAATATGCTCCAGAAATGGTGAGAGGTTGAATCCCAACCTTGCACCATCTTTGTCAACCCCCATTCTATAAGGTAAGATACACCTTCAAAATACTGCTTCCTGTTGCTTATTGAGCAAGTCCCATTAAAATTCAGAGCTTGTATACAAATCCTATTGAATAGAATAAAATACCACATCAAAATAACAAGATTTAAAACTCCTTGCAGACAAGGACTGTGCCTACTAATCACAGCCTTGTTTTATGTTTTAAGTCACCAGTATGTATCACAGGGCCTAGCTCACCATAAGTGCTAATAAATGCTTATTGAATTCATGGAAAGTATGACTAGTTCTGAAATATTTGGCATTATAGCAGTATTCTTTTTGTCCTTAAAATACCCTTTCCAATACATTGCTTTGATTTATCATGGCAATATATATATTCCAGCTTAGTCTGAATGTAGAATGTAGTCTGAAACAACTTAGTGGCTCTTAGGTTCTCTAGAGCTATTTACAAGCTATGGTAAGAGCTTCTCTGGAATATTCCAAACATGTAAGGAACATCCATACAACTCAAACTTCAGAATCAGTGAGAAGAAAAATTAATACTATTTCTGCACCTTCTATCAACAACGAAATAGTGAGGGTTTACACTAGATTTTCAAGTCTGTAACACCTTAGAACCATCCATTCTTCCCAGATGCAACTGAAAATTCTAAAGAGAGTTTCCTTCCAGATTTCTCTACCTATACCACTGATTTGTGTGTTCCTCTCCACATCAGACTCTATGAAGTTATTGGGATTTTAATCAGAGTGTTTTGTCTCATATTTTTCTTTTGTTATCTTAAGCTGAGTATTTTATTCTTCATCTTCTCAGATATTTGAATACCATAAGCAAAATATTTTTTTTTTAAGATTTATTTATCTATACAAGCACTGGGTACAGTTAGAAGCGTGGGAGGGTGAGAGAATTCACCAGAGCCAGAGCGGGGAGCAGAGCAGGCAGAAAGACCGAAGCACACTGCTGAGGGGAACAGCGGGCAGCAGGAGAGGTCTGCTCGCCATGTGGGACCCTCCTCTGGTGGCCGGGGAGAAGCCAGGGATCGAACCAGTGCTACAGAGGCTGCTGGCAGCTTCACCACCCAGCGCTCAACTGCTGCGCCACCGGGGAGGCCAGCAAAATACATTTTCTTGAGTCCCGTTTTAGAAGTTAGCATTTTTCTCAGAATGTGTAACCAACTTACATTACAGGAAATTTATTCCTTTCACAGGACTCCTTAGAATGAACTAAACTAGAACTCCAATATTAAAAAAATAATAATAATAAAGTGTTCATTTTAACTCCCCTAATGAATGACTTGTCTGGTTTACTCTGCTTGGTGCCCCCTGCTCAAGCATAGGTTTTCTTCATTTTTAGATTTGATCTGAATACTGCACTTCTTTTAAAAACATGTGTCAAGGGTGTTATTCCTTGTTGCCCCAGTTCTGCACTTCAGTTAAGCCACAAATCCCCACTTAGAAAAATTAAAAACAGGAATGAAGGTCAGCTTTACTGTCATGAAACTTTACCATTGACAAAGCAAAGCATATAGATCTGACAGCTGAAGGTCCATTTAACCTTTTTGTCTAATTGAGATGAACATTAGCACACCCATTTGTACCTGTGTTGGCTGTTAATCTGATTACTAAGGTAGCATCTTGGTGAGGGTGACACAAAGTGCTGCATGAGCCATTTGCTTTATGCTTTTAGAGTATCCATTTTCCTAGTGGTGGAGAAACGCCCGCACTTCCTATCTTCAGTGACATCGAGAAGTGGTTCCCGGCTATCTCCTTAAAGCAAGTGTTGGGCTGACAATCACCTGACATTTGATTGGAGCTTTTGTTGAGAATCACAGATCGTCTTTCCTGTGTTCCGCTGATTAGAAAGATCAGCTCTTTTCATCTTTCATTAGCACTCAGGAATGCTCAGGGCTACAGAAAATTTTTTTCTCTTCTTCTAGACAATAGAGAGAAAAGTGAGTTGTTATGTTCAAATTAAAAATTCTAGTTAAAATTAACCATTATAATTTTTAATCCTAACACACAATTACAGATTTGATCCACTAAAAAGTAGCAATTTTCATGCATCTTATTAAAGGAAAAACAAATGTTTGGGTTCATCATTGAGCATGTGTTTCATGCTCAGAGTCAATCCTTTTTGCTTATAAACATCAGGAAGAGCAAGCCTGAGTTCAGCTTAATTTTACATAAAATTTCATGTTTTCAGCATTATGCTCTCTTTTTATAAAATATTTATAAGCGACTTCCAGTAGTTGCAATTAAAATAGAATCACCCTAAATTTAGCCTCTCTTTATTGGAGCATGGCTGAGAATAAAAGACAAGAGATTAAATCTGAGCATGCACCAGAGATGTGGTCTAGGATTAACTCAAAAGGAGTGGTTTAATTTTGAGAAGTGTAGCGAAAAGTTTTATTCAATAAACACAGTTGCCACTGATGACATTTCTTTTTCTAGATATGGCTGGAGAACTACAGAGTGGACTGAGTGCCGCGTGGACCCTTTGCTCAGTCAGCAGGACAAGAGGCGAGGCAACCAGACTGCCCTCTGTGGAGGAGGGGTGCAGACACGAGAGGTGTACTGTGTCCAGACCAATGAAGATCTCTCCCACTTAAGCTCCCCCAAGGACAAAGAAGGTAAACTTTTTTTCTTCTCTAGGATTCACACGTAGCGCTGAGCATGGGGCTGTGCTGCAGACTTATATGTTGGCCACTGAGGTTATGAGGAGACATATTCTTCTCACCTTATGATTGGAATCAACTATAATGAACAATATTGCAAATTATAGCTGTAAAAAACTATTATTGCTTCGTCTTTGGTCAATTCTAATTTACTGCCAAGTTTCTGTTTAAATTTTCGGACTTCTAGCTCTGAGTCAAAACAGCAGTAGTGGGCCTCCCTTGTGGTGCAGCGGTTGAGCGCTGGGTTGCGAGGCTGCCCGCGGCCTCTGCGGCGCCAGTTCGATCCCCGTCTGCTCCCCGGCCACCAGAGGAGGGTCCCACATGGCGCGCAGACCTCTCCTGCCGCCTGCTGCTCCCCTCAGCAGTGTGCTTCGTTCCTTCTGCCTGCTCTGCTCCCCGCTCTGGCTCTGGTGAATTCTCTCACCCTCCTGCGCTTCTGACTGTACCCAGTGCTTATATAAACAAACAAATAATACATGCCTCTTTAAAAAAAAAAAAAAACTTAGCAGTAGTAATAACTTAAAAAGTAGTATAAAAATTCATGTTGTAACTCTATACATAGACTACAAGTATATACTCTAAAATTCAAATTTTCTTTACTTATGTAAGAAGTAAAGGTGCTTATAAAAACTGCCTCATTTGCAGTTTCTAATATCATTGAAAAAATAAGGCAATTACAGTATTCAGTGAAAATTTGAATTAATAAACACAACATAAAATTATTGCAAGAAAGATCTTTAGGGCCTCCCCGGTGGCGCAGCGGTTGAGCACTGGGTTGCCAAGCTGCCCGCAGCCTCTGCAGAGCCGGTACGATCTCTGGCTTCTCCCTGGCCACTGGAGGAGGGTCCCACATGGTGCGCAGACCTCTCCTGCCACCCGCTGCTCCCCTCAGCAATGTACTTCAGTCCTTCTGCCTGCTCTGCTCCCTGCTCTGGCTCTGGTGAATTCTTTAACCCTCCCGCGCTTCTGACTGTACCCAGTGCTTGTATAAATAAATAAATAAATCTTAGGGAAAAAAATCTTTAAACCAAAAGCATGACTTAAAAAAAGACTTCATTTAATCATGTAATTTGCAGACATATCTAGAATTTTTTGTTTAAATCTCAGATTTGGGAGCAGATATATAAATTTATATTTAAATACAAATGATCATGGATAAAAGTATATTTAACATATGTGGTATGTTACTTTAAGATTTTCATCATTATTGGGTCAATTTTATATTTAATTATTAGCTCTTAAGTCCATACAAATATAAATATTTTTAATCAATTGTATAAGCAAATCCTCTTACACTCCCTATCCTGAAAAATAATAGTACGTCTCTCACTAATCAATTCAACATGTATCAGTTGCCAAGGGAGTTCGAAAGTTGTGTAAGGTGGTAAAGATAATGCAATATGATATGCAAATTTACTGGGTTTTAGAATAACATTAGGATGTCATAAAAATAGGAAACTTTGTAGAAGAGGTAGCATTTGAGCTGAAGGATAATACATACACTCCATATGGTTACATGGGTCAGGAAATAAGGGAGCTTAATTCCAGAAGGCAGGAATAGCATGCATTAAAGCACACCATTAAAAAAAAAAATGAAACAAAAGAGAAAACTTGTCAGTAAAGATGAGCATGTTGTATTTGACAAGTTGTGGATGGGACACAGGACAGGACAGGGCAGGACGGGACAGGACAGGACAGAATTTCCCAGCAGGTCTGTTTGTTGGAAAGGGGAAAGAATCAGGACAAAGACTTAAAGATCCTAGTATTTACCAGCAAATGACAAACCATTTGAAAAAGTAGTATATATAAAGAACTTGAACAGGAACGACCAGAAAAGAAGAGGAAAAAAGAAAAGAAGGAGAAATAGTCGTTTTATAAAACAAAGAAGAGATAGCTCCTCTGCCTCCCCGCAAAAGGAGTGGTGCCAATGACGAGCAATTTATGGAAAATAAGTGCTGAAGTTTTTCATTTGCAGTTTCCAAAATTTAATTGTTCTCTAGCAACTAACTTTACACAGCATGTCAACTCATTTAGGAATCTAGCCTGGGGATACATTTTACTACTAATGTATCTTAAGGTTGTAAGGAAGTAGCATAAACATGTAATGTTAGTACATTAATATTTTCCTGGCCACATTAATGTCTATATTTTTAACACTCTAAGGTGGATTTATTATAGTAGGCCTTTCAGAATAGTATCATTTCATTGCCAGAGGTAGATCAGATTTTAGTTTCTGAATGTCAATTATGCCCTGTAGGTTATTACTTTGAAAAGATTCTTCAGAATTCTGAATTGCAACTGGATATTTTTTAAATGATTTTTTTTCATTGAGTCTTACTCTTGCCAAGTACTGCAGAGCATCAAAAATTAAAGTAACATAAAGAAAGCAAAACAGAAGGAATATCATTATTATGTACCTGTTGGATAAAGCAAAGGTCAATAAATATGGAAGTAATTAATTCACCTAAAATTAACATTTATCATGTAAGCATATAACATGAATAACTTAGGACTTGGTATCCTTTCATGTCAAATACCAAAGATACTAACAAATCTGTTATAGTCTCTGCAAAAACAGTAGATTCTTTCTGAAAGTCAAGCTAGCTTTTTCTCATAAAACTTAGACTAGATGAATTTCTTCTTAGAAGGCACTTAACATTTTCCAATAGAGAACTTAATCCAATACACGATCATCCCAAGTACAATATGTAAAAACTAAAAATATGTGTGAATTAAACCAGACTATGGGTTGTTAAGTCTTCTTCAGTCTGTCTTCTAATAAATATGAAATAATGAAAGCTTACTTTTAAAAATACCTCAAAGTATCACCCTCAATCAATTATAGTAAGAAAGTACTGAGCTCCAGAAATCCTGATTGTGTAACTAGTAACAACCTTCCCTAAAAGCAATTCATTTTTGTACTTAATTTGAAGCACAAAGTCTAGCCTGTTGTTTTTGCAGATTAATACTTATATTACTTATTTTCATAAATAACCAATTTATTAACTCAAAATGAAATAACTTAAGAATAAGATTTCTTGACACCAAAACACTGGAAACAAGTGCTCTGAATTTTTCATAAACATCCTTGGCATGTCATATTGTGCAGAGGAATGCTAATGACTATCTTAGCAAAGAATGTGTCTGCACTGGTCACTATTTATTGGCTTCCTCTATACTGGGCCATAAAAATTCTCCTACTCGGAACCAACATATTTTTCAGAAAATCAAAATATTTGTTATATGAAATACATAGTGTATAATATACTGTTCACATTTTGATACCTGTGTCAGTTGAATGAAACCATCAAAATATTAAAGTTGGTTATACCATCTATATACAATAGGAAAAACATACTACCTGATTGTGGAGAGTATCCACATTTTATTCATATATTGCTGCTACACATAGGTAACTTTCCCAGTCCTGACAACCTTTCCCTCCCAATGTCCAGGTAAGCAATATTTTTACTATCACTTCTTTAAATGTTAAATGAAAGACTTGTCATGTTTGCTACTAAGAAAAGTTATCAATAAAGTTCTTGACAATTTCTGTTGAGCTGGCTGATCAGAATCCCAGTAGCTGTAAAGAATGTCTAATTTATACTGTCATGAAATCTACCCTTAACAAAATATGTCAAGAAGACTTTTACCCAGGGATAGGTTTATCATTGTAAGTCATAAGGAGCTGATGAAAATGTCGCTTATGATGGGATACATGAACATGATTCATTTTGAAAAGCTCTAAGCGTAATGAACATAGATTTTAACTATACTAAGCAAAGAAAGTCTTCCCTTTGATACAGATTGAACTTATTTTAGAATGAGGAAAACCAAAAGGATTGATTATAAAACACCACAAAGCTCAGAGAAATTACATTATAAGAAGCTAAAGAACGTTCTTTTGTAGAAAGTGTATCAAATAATCCACAATTGAAAACTAGATAAAGTCTGTAGGATTTGACATTATTAAGAAAGACATTCTCGATAATGAGCCTGTATGATGACATAGAGTGAGATAAACCAGGAAAAAAATATTTGAAGCCTCAATGGATAGATGGATAAAGGGAAGGATGAGTGAACTGTGGATGGATTGGAAGAAGGTTGAAAAAAGAACTCATGTTTTCCTATTCTCCACAAAGAAATAAGGAGAATGAGATAATCACCATCCTAAATTAATTGAAAATGCTTTACAATTGTAGTTTTTTATCTAGTTTCCACAAACTAGCCCATTTTAGGCAAAACTATTTTGGAAAAAAGAAAGCTGTATTTCTTTGTTATTACAGAAAGTAAATTTTATTTAGAAGGTTAATGTGACAGTTTTCCTGTTGAACAATTTTGAAACAACAGGAAGGTGAGTCTATTTTACATGACATTTCAATCAGAAATGTATATCACAAATTATATGTTCCCTGGTATGGTTCTTACACCATCTGGAAAATAAAATGATTTACTTTCTATTTTCTAGAAATATACTGACGATTTCCCATGAAATATGTTTCTTAACTCTATAAAATCATTGTGTATTTGTAAAATTTTAAGGGAACAAAAATTTTAAAGTTAATGACTTACTTTTTTTCACTAGGATACAAAAGATAGAAGGATTGTTTATGAATGTCTTTCTTGAGATAAATTAATGAAGGTATGACTATTTTATAATTAACCACATTTCTGTCATAACACCTTTGCTCCTCTATTCTTAATGTGGTGGATGAAAAATGAACTAAATCACACAATGGAAACAGCCTATTCTTGCAGTAGAATGTGAGAAAATATGCTAGAAATGTGATGTAAATATGGAATAACTAAAATAGGAAATTCTTGTACAAATCAGACCCTTCTTGGAAGTCAGCTCTCTGGATATTTTGTGAGAGATAAGGATTGTTTTCTTATGAAATTTCTCCATGATCAGTAGGTTACAAATGAAAATTAAGATGCTCAGAGGTTTCAGCCAC